TTCTTTACCTTGGGCAGTTTACCGAGTAAAAGGTTCGGAGTATAATTCAATTAGTAATTTTCAAGATAAAGCCCGTAAAATCCGCTACCATTTTTTCCAAAAATTAGCCACCCAGTATCAAACCAAGTATATTATGGTTGCTCACCATTTTGACGACCATTTGGAAACTTATTTACTGCAAAAAAANCGGAATTCATTAGTGGAGCATTGAGGCTTGGCTCCCAAAACCAAGCAAGGNAAATTTTGGCTAATTCGCCCCCTTTTAACTCTGGAAAAGCAGTCAATTTACCAATATTTAATCGAAAAAAAAATTCCTTANGCNACCGATAGCACTAATCAATTACCAATTTATCAGCGAAATATTATCCGGGCAGAACTAAAAAATCTAAGTCCGGNTGAAAAAAATAATTTAGCCAAAGAAATTAAAGAAAAAAATCAAGAACTTAAAAAAATTAAATCGCTAGTTCGAGCCGCCCAACGAGAGCTAATTATTGCTCCTAATATGCTTCAACTTGAAAAAAAAAAATATTCTCCGGAAGTATATTTGCGTTTGTTCTATGAATGGATTAACCAAAACACTAATGGAATGCTTTATCAGAGAAAAAAACAACTATTAGCCGAAGTTTATAAGCAATTGTTCGGAAGTAAAAAAAAAAATTTAACTATCCAATTGGGAAAAAAATTTCAAATAGTCAAGCAAGATAAGAAAGTTATACTTCTTGCTAAAAAATAATTAATATATAAACTAAATGAGCCAAAAATCTTTTTCCTCGCCCAAAAAAAAAACTAATTCAATTGGAAAATGATTTCAAAAAAATCCCTTTTTTGTTCTAATTTTGTTGCTGGGANTGGGAATATTTTTCGTGCGGTGAATACTCGGAACCCCCGAAAAAGGTTTTGATATAGAAAAGAGGGGAGACAAATTGAAAGTTTATGGACTCGAAAAAGCCGAAATTGAAAAAATAAAATGAGATGAAAAAGTAATGGTTTCTGTGCCCAGTGGAGGGGAAAGACAATTCTGCTTCCAAAGTAAAGATAAGTGGTGAGTTTGGCTCTTTAAAAAACCTACTGTTTATCATGCTTCGGCTCCTTTGGAAGCAAGAGAAGTGCGGGATAAGGAAATTGAATTTGAGGGTTTTCC